ACCCTGGGGACTCCTGACTAGGGTCTGAACGACCTTACTCCAGGTGGGACACCCTCTTGCCCCAGTCATACATCTATATCTCAGGGGGAGAGTCCAGAGGGTGGGATCCCAGGACTGCATGCTCATTCAGGGTTGCATCACTTCCGTCCCCCAGTGAATGGAAATCCTTTCTTTCAAGAAGTACCCTGAATGAAGGCATTCCCTCTGACGGTTTCCTTTCTTTGCGTTTCGCACATACTGACACGGGATCCTGTAACCGGACTTGGAGTGTGTTGCTGTTCTCTTATGCTTCTGGGGTTTCAGAGGAGATGTGCAAGTGCCGCCTCTCTTCCACCACCAGAAAACCGAGGCCCACGATCAGGCTCTGTCTCACAGCCACATTCTTTTCTTCTTCTTTTTTTTAAATCTTTTTTTTAACTTTTATTTAATAAATATAAATTTATATTCTTTTCACTTTCCATGTCTTCTTTGTCATAAATGAGAGTCTTTCTCTTACTTGCTATACATTTTCATTTTCTCCCATTTGCTTTTCTGCTTTTACATCTCATTGTCTTCCTTGTGTAGGCTCGGGCTTTTCCTCTTTTCTCTCTCTAGGGTACCAAAGAGCAGAATCTGCAAAGGGTGTGTGTTCTGCAGAACATTCTCCACATCATTTGCTCAGAAATATTGTCATTAGGCTGTGCTTCCGTTTCTGTAATCATCTGGCAGGTGAACAGCTTGAGACAATGTTTGGGCCCAGATGCTTTATTGAACTGGGGGCAGCCTAAAACTCTTCTGGCAACCTCATTTCTACTTTTCAGTAGAAATGGGGCCTTTGCCACCCGCTACCACCACCTCACTAGCTGACGGAGGTCAGGCCAGCAGCATGCTAGCTGTAAGGTTTCCCTCCTAGGAGGACAGCTGATAACGTCTATCTCCTACTGACCTAGTTCAGGCATGGTGCTTCTCAGAGGATTAAGGCTATGACGCTGGAGTGATTCCAGATGTGGAGACTCCCAGTGTTGCAACAGCATCTGGGCTGTCTTGGCACCTCAGTACGCAAGACAGGTTGACCTGGCACAAGGTGCTGTCCTCCTCGCTGGCTTGCCAAGGAGACAGGAAAAAAAAAAAAAACCTGCCCCTGTAAGGGGGACACGCGCAACAGGTTCCTTCAGGCCAACTCCAGGTGTTGCAAGTGAGGAAATAGATCCGAGGGCGGAGTCGCTGCGGCGGTTCACGACAGTAACCGAGCTGAAAACCACATTCTGCACTGTTCTCTTCCTTTCCCCCTTTCTGATTGGGTCAGAAATCTGAGTGTGATTTGCAAATGGAAGGGGATGAATAGCTATTCCTAAGCTCTGACAGTCAAGAGGAGCTCTAGTGGGTGCTGTGGTGACCAGTCTGTGAGCTTGCTTTGTGTTTTGTTGGTGTGTGTGTAGTTTCACGGTGGTGGAGGGGGGTGGGGAGGAACAGCCTAGCCTGCAGGTTGCCTGCATCTGTGAAGTTGAAGATGGTTAGAAACACGTATTTCCTGCCTGTCCAGGTGGGCTCTAGTTTGTGCTGCTTCTCCTGCATTTCATGTCCAGCTCTTCTTCCCAGTCTTCTTCTGTCTTAAGTCTCAAGACTTTGGACCAAGAGATGGGCACAGACTGCATACACAGCTCCCACAACTGTGGTGGTGGTCGTAGGGTGGGGGTGGGGTGGGTCATAAAGCGCTCGTTCTGCAGCCTTGTAGTGCTTTCTGCTTCTCTGAGCAAACCCCAGCCGAACTGGTCACACAGCCTTGCCGCAGAGCCCAGGTCCCTCCGCGACCACAGGCTTCCTACCTCTGGTGTCACCTTTCCTTAGAGGCTCTATCTACATGGCTCAATGTTTCAGCGTTGAAAAATGCTGAAAGGCCAATGGGGGAGGTTCTGGCCGAGGAAATCTTCAGGGTACTTAGGCAAGAACTCATCAGCAGAGCGCCCCGCTCAGCCTCCAAGCCCCAGCTCCCATTCTACGGGGTAGATGCAGCTTGCATTGCTCTTTGAGCCAGGGCATTTGAGCACATAGGCACGACAATACGAACAAAAATCAGTCCTCTGAGCTTGTGCAAAAGATTCTGAACAAAATCAGATGTGTCCACAATGTAGTTCATTCTCTCCAGAAGCTTTGGCACTTTCTTGTTTATTTGTTTATTTATTTACTTACTTACTTGAAAGGCAGAGTTACAGAGAGGGAGACGCAGAGTCAGAGAGAGAGAGAGAGAGAGAGAGAGAGAGAGAGGTTTTCCATCTGCTGGTTCACTCCCCAGATGGCCGCAACAGCTGGAGCTGGGCCGATTTGAAATCAGGAGCCAGGAGCTTCCTCCAGGTCTCCCATGCGGGTGCAGGGGTCCAAGGACTTGGGCCATCCTTCACTGCCTTCCCAGGCCATAGCAGAGAGCTGGGTCGTAAGTGGAGCAGCCGGGACTCGAACCAGTGCCCATATAGGATGCCAGCACTGCAGGCAGCGGCTTTACCCACTACGCCATAGCACCAGCCCCAGTTTCTGCACTTTCTACACGGGAAAAGGTGGCTGGAGAAGAACATGCAAACTTTGAGTGAGTCACTGTGCATGGTGGGGTGGGGGAATAAAGAAGGGAGTCCCCTGTGCTGTGAAGCTAAGATGCCTACAGTCCCCAGGTGCGGCACTGGGAGCGCTGCTAGGATGATGCAGGCAGGAGCCCTCTGGAAGACTCCATGGTCTTAGGTCCCCAGCACTTCCCAGTGAGTGGGGAGAATTCAGCAGCTCCCAGTCTTCTTGTGGCCTTCCACCCCACCGTTGTTACTTGAAGTCTGAAGCTTGACTAGTCCTTAGAACTGCTGGCATTCAAAAGCAGGTCATCCAGGGAGTCATTGGGGTTGGGGGCATTACCCTTAATTGCTTAATAATTAAACGGGTCCATATCAGAGACTAGATGTTAGTTAATGGAAAACCAGGGAGTCCCACATCCTTGGAAGCAGATAATGAGATGCTAGCCCAGCAGAGCAGGTTGATACAACGCTGTGTGGTTCTCTACTGTACTCGGGACCTACATAAACACCCTCTGTCTCTCTGTTGCAGCTCCACTGGCTCGCATGGTGCATTTTGGCTCTGCCACTGTGTCACCTACCTCAGGGCATATGCACTCACTGAGTCCTTTTAGTATCAGAGGGCCCCGTGGTAGGGCTCGGGCTCATGGCTTCATGTCTTTGCTCATGTTTGCAGCAAGGAGGCCTCAAGCAAGTGCCTCTCTCTGCTCACCGGCCTGATCCTTACAGCGGCTTCTAATTCGAAATCTTCTCATATTCGAATTCTTCCCCATGTCAGGGTGGGGAAGCTGGCGCGAAGGGCCAGGCTGATGTTGTTCGTTTGCTGTGCAGTGTTCATTTCAACTTGGACATCTTATTTCTGAGAGATGCGAGAAAGGCGTTGGAGAAGCTGTCCACAGCAGCTTCTCCAAAAACGGCACGGGATTTCAGGGTCTGGTTTCCTTCCCCGGCTTCAGGTAAGCTTGTTTATAAAAAGGAAACATTGGCGCCGCTCAGCAGATTTGAGAGACCTGGTGGGAACTGCTGGTTATTTGTCTTTTGATCACGAAGCCCAGCATTTGGCTCCAAGGCTGAAGGTCTCCAGGCCCCTTTATCTCCTCCCCCAGAGACGATAATCCCTCCTCTGACATTCCTGTGGCCCCTGGGGTGGCTGGGGAGCTGGGGGAGGGGGCTGAGCTGGCAGGTGCACGCCCACTCGGCAGCCTCCTCCTAGTATCTGTCCTTAATGTGACCTCCCACTGGGGACCCCGCTGCCTTGAGAGCTCAGTTCGGGAGCCTAACCTCTCCTTCCCCCTTTGTCCTGCAAACAACCAAGAGGAAGGGAAAACAAAGCCAGCCACCCTCCCCCAAACCCCAGGCAAGGTTTATTTTGAGGAGCGAACCTTTTGTGTTGGAAGCCGCATCTTATCACTTGCCTTTTATGGAATCTGAGAGGCGACAGGAGGTGAAGGGTCGTGGCGTGCAATTCGCTCATTTTGTAGCCGAGGACACGGTGGTCCACAGGGGTTCTGGGGCCTGCCCGAATCACACAGCTTCTCCATAAAGGTTGCTGGGCCAGTCCCCCTAGGTTGTGTGACATCCCCCCCAGGCAGTTTGCAGGGCACCCCACAGCCCCGTGCAATGGGAGCTGCCCGACTGGCCTTAAACCCCAGCGAGCAGAGACAATTTTCTTTGCATCAGCATGCATACCACGCAGCGTTCCCCACAGGGGAACATATTGAGAAAATGAAATTCAAATCACCCCTCCGGTACGCTTCGCGCTCCCTTTCCTGATAACACACAGGGAGAAGTTGATTCTGTAGGTGCACAGGTGGACTGCTGTTTCTAGGGCCAGGCTGTGCGGCTTCCAGGAAGGCCACCCAGGTCTCTCTCCTGTCACCAGGTGCTCTGGACCGGAGCTGCGGAGAACAGCCTGGGGTTCAAGCACCCCAGGACTTGGATCCTGGCCCCAAGGTTTACTTCCCCAAGAAACTCAGCAGCCCTTTAGGGTCTCTGGCTGCGTCCACATCCTACCCCTCCCTTGGCGCAAGACTGAACGGACCCCTGGGTGTTCCGTGACCTCGAGGGATCCTGAACCAATTTTGAACTTGCTTCCTCAAGTCACTCAGCTTCACAGTCCATTACACGAAGTCTCTCTTTTAAAATACAAAGAAAAAGTCCTTCGCTTGGTGAAACCATTTTACTCACGCAGAAAAAAAAAAAAAAACGTAAAGGTAAAAGATGAAACTCCAAGAGCAAACCTTTGTGCTCTCTGGGTCTCTTGGAAACAGAGGGCGGGCCGAGCGTGTGAGCAGGAGCAGCGGCTGCTCGTGCAGAGACGGGGAGAGACGGCTCTCCCCTTCCACACGAACTGGCTTCATTATATTTTCAGGCGAGCGAGTCATGGGTTCCTGGTGCGCGGTGCTGTCTTTTTCAATTAATGCTTTTCACAGAAGTTCAGGTTTTAAACATCTCCCCCTCTCTTCCCAGGTCTGTTACATTTCCCAGAATGGTTCCCAGCGCTGGAGATAATTCCTTTTCGGAGAACCTACATTTCTCACCTGCTGATTGCAATTAGCCACTGCCAGCTGGGGCCTGGTGTGCAGCTGAAAAGCTAACAAGAAGTGGAGACCACGCGGAACCCAGACAGGGCACAGGATGTGCATAAATAAAGAATGGTGCCCGCCCGTGTTTATGAGCCGCCCCTGTGAATTCCAGGCTGCCCAGCCCTCCGCACGGCCCTCCCTCTTCTGCCTCTGTGCCGCCTCTGGTTTTGCAGCCTACACTTAACATCACAGTCACGAATTTACCACTAAGTACATTTTGTTAGGCAATAAACAGCCTTGAAAGAAAAATGAAATCAGACGAGGACTTGTGTTGCAAGAATGCTTGTGAGCAGTGGTGGGTTCAGGCAGTCTAGAGCTAAACTTGACCAAGAGAGGGCTGCCTCAGTTTATGGACAAAGACATTGAACCTCAGAAAGGGGTGGGGGGAGCATGGCTTGTTGGCTTATCCAAAGTCTTAGAAGAAGCCCCAGGAGGTCAAGTCCATGTGCACACTGATCCCCAGTTTAGGGCTTAAATCGCTGAAGCGCCTTGCCTTTCAGCATTGAGGCTGGAGAGTTTGGGAGGACAGCACCAAGGAGATTGCGGGAGGTTAGCAGAGGGTCCGTCTCTACCGGGCCCTGTGGGCTCCCCACCTGCCGCAACACTTCCTTCGCATCCCATCGCTCAGCTCTGGCTCCCGCAGCCAGCCTTCCTGCCCTAGGTGTTTTCATCCAGGCTTCCTACTCGTGTCTCCCTGGCCCACAGCTGCTGATGCCCCCCAGAGCGAGTGCGCTCAGCCGTCAGGGTTGTCCTAGGGTTGTTCTGCAGCCAAAGGTAGGGAACGGACGTCTGATAGGGGGAAGGGAGCAGCTGTCTCGGGAGCTTTCCTGCTTCTGCTTGGTGGGATTGAGCAGCACCCTTCCCCGGCTGCCCCACTCCCAGGATCCAGTCCTCTCTGCCTCACTCACCTTTCACCAGGACAGGCCTCACATGACTCCGGGTCAGGAAGTCCCATAGGCTGCCAGACAGCAAGCGCTAATGAAAAGAACCTGGACTTTGGGCTGGGACTCCAGCCGAGCTGTGTCGTAGACGCGCCCCTCAGCCTGCTTCTTCTTGCAGCCCACGGAGACTCAGAATACAACGCTTAGGATTGGGATTTCTGACAGGGCACATGAAAGAGGCTTTGGTAGAATAGGGTCTCTATAAGATTCTTGTTTTTCTTCCTTCCAATACTAACTCTCCATTTTATGGATGAGGAAAACCGAGGCCAAAGCAAGTAAAGTTGCTCTCTCAACGTTCTTTCAGCACCTCCAGTCAATTACTTTATCTTCGCTGAGGCGCTCAGGGAAGAAATCGAGATGAGCTTTGCTACCCATGCTCCAAAGACAAGGACTTCCACATGCTGGTAATATTTGTGAACAAAGGGGCTGGAGGGCAGAAGTGGGGAGAAAGCTCTGGTTTGCAGGCTTTCTGATTTTGATTTTGAGGTAATTTTAATTTCGACTCATACGCAGTTATAGAAGCAATATAGAGATCTCTCTTCACCTGCTTTCTTGCAATGGTACTGTCATGCAAAACTGCAGTACAATATGACAACCAGCATATTGACATGATATAAACCACCGACTTTCATATATTCCCAGTTTTGCTTGTACCCATTTGAGTGTGTGTATGTGTGTATGTCTGTTTATTTCTAGGCAATTTTATCACATCCTTATGTTTCTGTGGCCGCCACTACAGTCGAGATACAGAACTTTCTATCACCACAAAGATCCTCTGTTGTCACTGCCACCTCCCCCTTTTCTACCTTGTCCTGTCTTTAACCTTTTACAACCTCTAATCTGTCCTCCATTTCTCAATTTTGTCATCTCAAAATGTTACATAAATGGACTCTAACAACTTAGAACCTTTTGACCTCGCATTATGTCCCCCAGCATAATTCTCCCAAATTCAATTCAAGTTATTGTGTGTATCGGTACTTCATTCCTTTTTGTTTTTGCACAATATTCCACGCTATGGGTGTATTGCAATTTGTTTAACCCATTCTCCTGTTGAAGAATATCTGGGTTGCTTACAGAATTGGATTATTATGTATAAAGCTTCTACAAAAGTTCATTTACAGGATTTTGTGTGAATGTAAATTCCCGTTTCTTTGGAAACTTTGCGCCCTTCCTAAGCATGCAGTTGCTGAGTTGCACGGCAGCTGCATGTTCACACGGTTGTTCTCCTGATTGGCTGTACCACCCCACAGCCCCATGTGAGTAATCCAGTAATGCCTACTCATCAGCATGTGGTGTTCCTGCTAGTCTTTATTTTAGCCATCCCGATAGGCGCAGAATGGTAGTTCTTGATGGTTTCAGTTTGCATTTCCCTCATGGCTAATGTTGCTGAACATCTTCTCATGTGTTTTTTTTTTTATCATCTTTTTGTGAAATATCTCTTCATGTGTTTCGCTCACTTTCTAATTGGACTATCTGTTTTTATTGTTGAGTTTTGAGAGTTCTCTATGTATTCTAGATACTAGTCCTCTGAGTCAAATATGTGGTTTGCAAACATTTCGTTCCAGTCTGTAGCTTGTCTTTTCCGCTTCCTAACAGGGTGTTACACAGAGCAAAATCTGGTCATTTGGATGAGGTTCAATTTACCAGTTTTTTTTTTTTTTTCATTTTATTGGTTGTATTTTTGTGGGAAGTCTAAGAAGTCTTTGTCTATATCACAAAGACTTTTTCACCCGTTTTCATTATAAATGCTTATGCTACAGTTTTATATTTCATATTTAACTCCACGATTCATTTTGAGTTATTTTTTTCTATTAGGTATGAGATTTAACAAAAGGTTCTTTTTTAAATTTTTGCCTATGGATGTCTAATTGTTAAAGCATTGTTTGCTGAGAAAGCTATTCTTTTCCCCTTGAATCACTTCTATATCTTAGTCAAAACTGAATGGGGTGTATTTCTGCGGGTCTATTTCTGGGTTTTCTATTCTGTTCAATTGATCTACACATCTATTTCTCTACCAATAACACACTCTTGATTACTGTGGCTAAATAATAAGCTCTAATACAATTGCCTTTCATTTCTTACCATAGAAAATATAACAAAACAATCCTCATAAGGAAAGCAATTAAAGAGGAAGCAATTAAAAACTGTAGGGAAAACATATTATAGAAGTATGCCAGGAAGTTAATTAATAGAAATACTGTTTTTAAAACATTTTTGTGATGTTTTATGGTGTTTTCGACCTTTCAAATTTGTAACTCATTGTGATTTATTTCTCATGCTAAGTAAATGTTCATTTACATACTTTAAAAAAATAATAAGCCTTACTATTGGGTGGAGTGATTTTTTTTTCTGCTTTTACAATTCTTTTTCAAGATTGTCTTGGCTTGGTCAGCATTGTGCCATAGTGGGTTGAGCTGCCACCTGTGACACTGGCATCTCTTGGGCACCAGTTCTAGTTTCAGCCGGTCCACTTCCAATTGAGCTCCCTGTTAATACTCCTGGGAAAGCAGCAGAAGTACTTGAGCCCCTGCCACCCACGTGGGAGACCTGGATGGAGTTTTAGCTCCTGGCCTTGGCCTGACCCAGCCCTGGCCATTGCAGCCATTTGGGGGAGTGAACCAGCAAAATAAATAAATCATTAAAAAAAAAAAATTGTCTTGGCCATTCTAGGGCATATGATTTTCCAGATAAATTTTAGAGGAAGTTTATTTGTGTCTACAAAGAATCTTGCTGGAATTTTGATTGGAATTGCATTAAACCTATATAGCAATTTGGGAAGAACTGACATCTTCGCTAAGTCTTCTAAACCACATATTGAAATATCCATTTATTAGGTTTCTTGATATCTTTTTTCAGCATTTTGTAATTTTTGGCACACAGATCCTGTAAATGTGTTAAGTATATACTTGAGTATTTCTTTTACTATATAGATCTCACAAATATTTTGTTAAGTGCAAACCTGGAATAGTATTTGCAGTCACCTTGAAGTTACTGAAAATTGTATTCTGCTTTTAATTCAGGTTTCCACATATCCACTGTTAACAAATAAAATGTGCTGCTTTTATATCCAGCAACTTTACTGAACTCCCTTCTCAGTTCTAGAAATTTTGTGTATGTGTACACTCAGTGGAATTTTCTGCACAGACAAAATGTCATTTGCAAGCAGAGATGAAATTTTATTTTTCCTTTTCTGATCATTATCCTTTTTAGTGTTTTTTTCTTGCCCATTGCACTAAAACTTCCTATACTCTGGCAAATACAAGTAGTCAGAATGAACAGCCTTACTTTGTGCCTGATCTTAGGGTGAGAGAAAGAAGTCATTTACCAGTAAATATGATACTAGCTGTAAGTGCCTTACAAATGCTCTTTGTCATTGTCATTCCTGTTTGCAACTTATTGAGTTTTTTCATGAAAGGTGGTGGATTTTCAATTTTTTATTTCTATTGATATAATCAGATGACATCTTTGTTGACTGATGACTGATTTTGAGTGTGGAACAAGTTTTGTATATGTAGAATGAGTATGGCATATAATTATTTGTACACATTACTTGATGAGATTTGGTAATATTTTGTTGAGGATTTTTGTTTCTATGTTCATGAGTTATGTAGACCTGTAGTTTTGTGGCTTTCTACTGTCATTTTATACTTCTGGCGTCACTAAAACGCGGGCCTCATGGAATGAGTTGGGAATTATTGTTTCCTCATCTATTTTCTGGAAGAGATTGAATAAAATTGCTGTTAATTTAAATGTTTTGCAAAATTCTCCAGTAAATTCATCTGGGCCGGTGGGTTTTTTTGGGGGAGCTTTAAATTACAAATTTAGCTTCTTTAAGGGTTATAGCAGTATTTATGTTAACTGTTTTTTCTTGATTGCTATTTGCCAATTTGTGGGTTTTGAGAAACTACTCCATTTCCCCTAACTTGTCAAGTGTAGGAGCATGATGTTGTTATCTTTCCAATGACTTCAGGCTCTGTGGTGATATCTTTTCTTTCATTCCTGATATTGACAATTTGTGTCTCTTCTGTTTTTGTACGTGTCAGTTTTGTTAGATGTTTATCAATTGTATTGATTTTTTTCCCAAGAACCAGCTTTTTGTTTCATTGATTTTTTTTTCTGTTTTCAATTTCATTTCTTTCTGCTCCTTAGAGAGGGAGGGGGGAGGGGAAATGCTCCCATCCACTGGTTCATTCCCCTAGACATCACAATGGCCAGGGCTAGGCTGGGGTTAAAATCAGGAGCCAGGAACTCAATCCAGGATTCCCACTTGGGTGGCAGGAACCCAGTCACTTGAGCCATCACAGCTGCTTTCCTAGGTCTGCATTAGCAGGAAGCCCGGTACCAAACAGGCACTCCAACACGGAATATGAGCATCCCAGCTAGTATCTACACTATTGGACAAAGGCTAGCCATGGTTTCTGCCAATATTTTATTATTTCCATCTATCTGCGTGTTTGGCTTTATTTTGATCTTCTTTTTCTTACTAGTTGAGGTAGAAACTTAAATTATTAATCTGAGATCTTTCCTGTTTTCTAATATAAGCAGTTAGTGCTGTAAATTTTCCCTTTCAGCAATGGTTTAGTTGCATCCCACAAATCTTTATATGTTGTATTTTAAATTTAATTTAGTTCTATGTATTTTAAATTTATTCTTTGAGACTTTCTCTTGGGCTCATGGATTACTTAGAAGTACATTATTTCATCTTCAATTATTTGAAGATTTTCTTGTCTTTTCAAAATTGATTTCTATTTTGGTTCCATTATAGTGGAAGAACATACCCTGTATGTTTTCAATGCTTTGAAATATGTTGAAGTTTGTTTTATGGCTTAGGATATGATCTTTGTAAATGTTTATTTTTTAATCTACTTTAAATGCAGAGCAACAGAGAAAGAGAGTGGAGCATGACAGAGGAAGAGAGAGGAAGGAGAGAGAGAGAGAGAGAGAGAGAGAGAGAGAGAGATCTTCCATCTGCTGGTTCTCTCCCCAAATACCCATAACAACAAGTGTAGGGCCAGGCTGAAGCCAGAATCCTGGAACTTCATCCAAGTCTCCCACGTTGGTAGAAGAGATCCAAGCACTTGAGCCATCCTCCACTGTCTCCCAGGATACATTAGCAGGAAGCTGGATCAGAAGCAGAGAAGCTGGGACTTGAACCATCACTCCAATATGGAATTGAGTGTCCCAAACAGTGGTTTAATATACTGGACCACAACACCCACCCCAAGATACGGACTAGCTGGACGAATGTTATCTTTTTACTTATTTTTTAAAGATTTATTTATTTGGAAGGCAGAGTTTACACGCAGAGAAAGGGAGAGACAGAGAGAGACAGATCTTCCATCTGCTGACTCACCCCCGCCCCCAAATGGCTGCAGCAGCTGGAGTTGAGCTGGTCCAAAGCCAGGAGCTTCTTCTGGGTCTCCCATGTGGGTGACAGGGACCCATGTACTTGGACCATGTTCTGTTGCTTTCCCAGGCATGTCAACAGGGAGCTGTATCAGAAGTGGAGCATCAGGAACTCAAATTGGCACCCACATGGGGTGCTGGCATCTCAGGTGGCAGCTTAACTCATTATGCCACAACACTGACCCTTGGACAAATGTTCTATAGGTGCTTGAAAACAAGTTGCATTTTGCTGTTGTTAGGTGGAGTGTTCTATAAATGCCAGATCTATTGGTTGATGGTGTTGTTCATTTCTTGTATGTCTTTGCTAATTTTTTGCCTGGTACTGCTTTCAATTGCTGAGAGAAATGTATTAAAGTTCCAACTACTCATTTAATTGTGGCTGTGCCTATTTCCGATTTTCCATTTATGTTTGGTGCATTTTGCAGCCTTATTTGGTGCAAACACATTTAGGATCTATATGTCTTCTAGAGGGTTGATACTCTCGCAATTATGTAATGCCCCCTTTGTCCCTGGTAACATATTTGACTCTAAAATCTAATTTATCTGACATTAATATAACTAGTCCTATTTTTAAAACATTAATGTGAACTTAATGTATCCTTTTTTTATTCTTTGACTTTCAACAAATCTATGCCATTGTGTTCAAAGTAAGTTTATTCTAGAAAACAGATATTTAACTCATGACATTTTACCACTTTGCCAATCTGTCTTTTCATTGGTTTACTTAGACCATTTGCATTTAAAGTAACTATTAATGTATTAACTAAGTCTGCTTCTCAATTATTTGTGGGTAACTACTTGTGGGTTACTTAATATTTTTTGCAATTCCATCTTATTTTATTCATGCTGCTATTTAGTACATTTCTTGTATAATATTCTAAATGGCTACTCTTGGTGTTACAATATACACGCGTAATTTATTATAACTGACTGCTATCAATGTTCTGTTTCAAGTGAGGAATTGATACATTACTCCCATTTATGTCCCTTTATCTTCTTCACTTTTAAAATATGGTTTTCCCCGGCCGGCGCCGCAGCTCACTAGGCTAATCCTCCGCCTGCGGTGCCGGCACACCGGGTTCTAGTCCCGGTCGGGGCGCTGGATTCTGTCCCGGTTGCCCCTCTTCCAGGCCAGCTCTCTGCTGTGGCCAGGGAGTGCAGTGGAGGATGGCCCAAGTACTTGGGCCCTGCACCCCATGGGAGACCAGGATAAGTACCTGGCTCCTGCCATCGGATCAGCGCGGTGCGCTGGCCGCAGCGGCCATTGGAGGGTGAACCAACGGCAAAGGAAGACCTTTCTCTCTGTCTCTCTCTCTCACTGTCCACTCTGCCTGTCAAAAAAAATATGGTTTTCCCAAGTGTTTTGTCTCCCTACTTTAATTAAGCATTGAAACAGATGTTGTTGGGGCCGGTGCTGTGGCGTAGAGGGTAAAGCCTCCACTTGCAGTGCAGGCATCCCATATGGGCGCCAGTTCGAGTCCCGGCTGCTCCACTTCCGATCCAACTCTCTGCTATGGCCTGGGAAAGCAGTGGAAGATGGCCCAAGGCCTTGGGCCCCTGCACCCACGTGGGAGACCCGGAAGAAGCTCCTGGCTCCTGGCTTCGGATTGGCGCAGCTCTGGCTGTCGTGGCCATCTGAGGAGTGAACCAGCGGAAGGAAGACCTCTTGCTCACACTCTCTCTGTCTCTCCCCTCTCTGTGTAACTCTGACTTTCAAATGAATAGATAAATCTTAAAAAAAAAAAAAAACAGATGTTGCTATAGTTTTTGGTTCAGCCATCAAAAATGATTAAAGAAACTCATGAGGACAGGAATACTCTAATATATTTGCCCTTATTTTCATCCATTGTGTTATTATTTTTTTCGTTCCAAAGATCCAATCATTTTATAATTTCTTTTCTAAACAGAGAGCTTCCTTTAGCCACTTTTTTTAAGGGTAAAGTTTGGTACCAATATGTCCTCTTTGTTTTCCTTGCTCTGAAATGTCTTTATTTTCTCTCCATTCCTAAAGGATGATTTGAACAAATCTAGAATTCATGATTGAGAGTTCTTTTCTTCCAGCACTTAAAAACTGTGCCACTTCCTTCTGGCCTTCTTGATTTTTGGTTACAAACTCACTGTCATTTGAAAGTTTACTCCTTCTTAGGCAATGCATTCTTTCTGTGTGGTTGGCATGTGTGTATGGGCGTCATTGTGGCATAGCTGCTAAAACCACCATTGGATATTGAGGTATCCCATATGGGTGCTGGTTTGTGGCTGGCAGCTCCACTTCCCATCCCACTCCCTGTTAATAGCTTGGGAAAAGCAGCAAAAGATGGCCCAAAACCTTGGTCACCTGCACTCACTTGGGAGACTCCAAGGAGGCTCCCCTGGCTCCTGGCTTCGGCTTGGCCCAGTGTTGGCCATTGTGGCTATTTGAGGAGTGAACCAGCTGATGGAAGTAATCTTTTTCTGTCTCTCCCTCTATGTAGCTCTGACTTTCAAAACAAACAAATGAATAATCCTTTTAAAAAAGGATATTTTCCCTTTGTCTTTAGTCTCCAGATACTTAATGATTTTCTTGGTATGGATTTCTTTGAGCTTCCCTACTTGGAAATGACTTTGCTTCTTGAATCTGAATGTCTAATTAGGTGTTCTGCCAAATTTGAGATTTCTTCAGCTGTCATTTCTTCAAATACCTTTTCAGTCCCACTTTCTGTCTTTTTTCCTTCTGGGACTCTGATGACATGAATTTATATCTTTTTATTGTACCAAAGTTCCCTGAAGCTCTGGTTTTTTTTTTTTCATCAACTTTTTCCACTGCTCTTTAGTTTGAATGAACTTTAGTGCTGATTTTTCTGTCATTTCCACTAGTATGAGCTCATCTGGTGATTTTTTTCCATTTCAGTTACTGTATTTTTCAGTTCTATAATTTCCACTTGGTATTTTAGAAAACTTTCTTTGCTGTGCTTTTCTATTTTTATTTATTTACAAGAAGTTAATAATTATTTATTAAAGTGATTTTATAGTGGATCTTCAAAGATTTTTTCAGATATTTATTGTTGGTGTTGATTGATTATCTTTCTGGTGTGAGCTGTGATTTTCCTTAGTACATTCTTAGTACGAAGAGAAAATTTTTATTGTACATTTTAGCAGGCAGTTGTCTATTTAGATTTAGCTTATAGGTCCTATCCTACTTTCTGAGATATGTATTGCATTTTAAGCTTATTTTACTGATCATCCTTACATTTTTAACATGTGTATTTAATTACAAATTATTTTTCAAAATCTCAAGTTATTTAATATCTCTATTCTTCTCCCCCAAACTTATAACTATCTGCATTTTACTTACTATTTTGTCTAGATTTTTAGTACCATTCTTTTGTAAACAGTTTGTAGTTTTTAGCTTTTTAATGTCCAATAGTTAATTAAATTTAACTTTCTCTATTATTACTGTGTGTTTATTTGCTCAGCATTATTTCTGGTAGACTACTTTTCTCTGGGTTCACTTTTCTGCTTATTGAACTGTATTCCTTAATTGTACATGCAATGAGTACTGGCCTTTTATATTTGAAAGTGTCTTTCTTTGTCCTTACTTTTTAGTGATTGTTTAATGAAAATGATGATCTAAGCTGACAATTCTTTTTCGTTATCAGACTGAAAATTTCACTGCATCTAGAATCTATCATAGGTGGAAAATCTGCTGGAAATCTACTACTTTTTGTTTTGAAGATAATTTGTCATTTTATTCTAGTAGTTTTTAAAATTTTCTCTTTGTCTTTGGTGGTCTAAGGTTTAAATACTATCTATCAAAGTTTGTACATATTTATATTCATTCTGCTTGGAATTGGTGTGACTTTTCATCTGAGTAGTTTCTGTTTTTCTCAAACTATCATAACTCTGGAAACTTCTGTTCCTTTGTTTTGAAATTCAATTAGGTGTGTGCTAGTTTCTCCTTTCAGTCTCACACCTGTTGTTTCATTCATATTTTTAATCTCTTGGTACAATCTTTTATAAATTCCACTATCTTCCAATTCATTAATTTTCTCTTTAACTCCAATATAGAACTGATATCATTTATTGATTTGTTTATTGCTTTGTTTCACAATTATATTTTCTATTTCCAAGATGGCTAAGTGGTCCTTTCACATTTTCACTTGTTTTTGTTTCATTGAGTCACTTTGCCCACTTCCATGTTATAATTCTCTGCTCTCTCTGTGTGGTATTATTCTTTCCTGATTTCTTTAAATATTCTATAAATACTAATACAACAATATTAAAGTTGTATTCATATCATTGTCAGTTTCATTGTATCCAAAGTATATTTATTTCCTAACTATAAATTTTGTCAGCTGTATTTCTTAATATTTGTTCTTTATGTGTTTGAAAATTGGGGTTTCAGGCTTGTCTTGAGTGAGAATTTGGCACCAGCAGTTTTCTTACTCTCTCCATGTGATCACTTCCATCTGGGCCTCTGGGATCTTGGATCTTAAATTGCATTGCTTCAAAATTCCCATCTCAAGATGACATTTGGGTATCAATAATTCTGTAACAGAG